TTCTTTCTTTGTCTCTTTTTTCTTTTTTTCTTTGTTTCTTTCTTTTTTGATTCTTTCTTTCTTCTAAGTGATTGATGGCCACGTTTCCTAGAAAAAAACCCTTATGAGGATCACTAAGAACAAAACCAACAACAAAAAAGCACCTCTAAAACTAACATTAGTAGCCACACATATGCAAGTACTCAACTGCACGTCCAAGCACAAATCCCTGCAGAGAATCCCTTACCCCCATATGCCAATACAATAACTTATAAACTAGTTACGAAATGTCACACTCGTAAATTTAATCCCATGAGAACTCACACGAACGAATATGCTTAACTTCACACATCTATCAAGAGATACCCGCACATTTATATATTATCAATATATATATATAAGTATGTATGTATGTATCACATAAGTATGGTCTTTTAATGTTGATGAAAATGGGCTCATGCGTAATTTTATAGGAGTTCGCATTTACGTAACCAGTAATAGTTTACATCAATTGTGCGTACATCTCTTTTGTGAGAGTGTGACTTTATGGCTTGTTTATTAGGCTTTTATGTGTGTCTGGTCGCTATTGAAATTTGATATGTATGTATGTATGCGGATGGTCAGCGTGATGAATGAAATGCTGAATTTTTTTTTCTGTGAATGATATACTATTTCGTACAGTGACTGACTAAATAAATTTAAATATCAACGACCTCGTTTAAAGGCTACTAATTGATCCATAATGAAATCACTGGATTTGTAATAATTCCGTTTTTTAAGTTCAGCGTTTGAAAAAAGTATGTCACAACGAGCTATTGGAATTGCGAGGTAACCTTCACATATTTGGAAAAGATAGAATAATCCAGAAACTATAATGGCAGAAACCCAAACGGATAGAAAATGGATTCAGTAAATATAAAGCGATAGAATGAGGTGTATGACAAGGATGTGACTTCCGCTGGGATTTATGCAGTCATTACATGGAGACGATTCCGCAAGAATTAGAAGTTCTACCAGGATTCATTAATGGCGACCATAATCTTAACAACATAAGATATGCAGATGACACAGTGTTGATAACAGACAGAGAACGGAAACTACAAGAACTACTCTTTCTCTTTCTACTCATTACTGATATTTCTGTTCCAAATGCCTCCACACCCTGTAACTATTTACGTGTTAATGACGGCACTGTCTTGCTTTGTTACAGATTTTTAAAAAGCGATGGCTAACATTCACTTTCCTTCTAAGAGGAAGACTGTTTCGGGCCATAACACTCAACGACAGTGGTTACTGTTCCATCCAAGGTAAAAGCTATATCGAGTCCTTTTTCTTTAGCTAATTAGCCCCTATTTACACAAATTTACCCTCGTATTAAATTAATCTGTGTATATTTAGTCGCTTCGTTTTAGGAAATTTATTTAGGTTAGGTTGAGGGAGTTACATATTTGATATGGGCGTCAAAGGCCGGTGTTCGAATTCATGTAAAATCAAAAATGCCCTTTCTCACGACGCAACATAATTTTCATACATTCATTTTGTCTTGTGTATTATTATGCAATATATATATATATATATATATATATATATATATATATATATATATATATATATATATATATATATATGTGTGTGTGTGTGTGTGTGTGTGTGTGTGTGTGTGTCTTTCTCTCTCTCTCTTTCTCTCTCTCTCTTTCTCTATGGTGGACTCTCCCGTCGTCTTCGATGTATGAGGGTCAAGCAGGTCAGGTCCTAGGGACCGACAGCCAGACACCAGCACATATGAATTGATTATAGTGGTGAAGGCTTTGTGCAGAGAACTACACTTTTGGAAGGGCCGAATATAGAGACCTGTTGCACTACGTTCCACAAGGTCAGAAAACAATCCTCCACAGGTTTTGAATTCAGAGTTGTTCTTCTCCTAGACCATTTGCTATACAAGCTATTTACCCACAGTTGGAGGAAGAAGAAGAGGGTTAATACCTTTCTCAAGCGTATTAGCACGTAAGTGAATGCAATGGATTTGACCGGATTATATATAATTAATTAATGAATATCAAAGACTTAAAATACCATAGGTAATAATCTTTATTTCATGAAAGTTATAAAAATAGCCTTCAATCTTTCAAACCTGCAAATATAAATGAAAAAAATATTCCAGTTAAAATTCAAGATATACAGATACTGTATTCAGGGAGAAGGAGAGAGAGAGAGAGACAGAGAGAGAGAGAAAAAATAGTGAAGGAAAGATTCAAAATTATGAACATGTAATGATGTTGTAGGTGGGGCGGGGAGGAAGAAGACCCGAGGATTTATTCTCAGTAGACTTTAAGGTTTGAGGTCACCTATTTTATATGACTACAATGTTACGTTTTGATTTAGAGGTTGAATGAAAATATTTTTAAGTCATTTGGATTTTTAAAAAAACACAGTGTCACTTACTGGCTAATAATCTGATGTATACATATTCCTTTTAATAAACTTTTATAAATTTATCTTAAACAACTTTTTGTTTAAGGATATTTTTAAAAATATTCAGAACTTGGCGAAAGATTTAGAATGTACCGTACAATGGTAAAAGTTCCTAAGAGATTTAAATCAAATTACCCGAGTGATTTAAATAAAATAATTATTAATTATTAAGATATCCAAAGAAAAATAGTTTATTCCATTTGTAAATTATATTAAGCAGGATGTATTTATTACATTTTAACAGGGTAAGGAGGTACTTTAAATTAAAATTAAAACAAATGGGATCCTAATTCTCCAGTGCATATCGGGAAAACTGAAGAGTTTAGTTCAAAATTATCCAAAATTATATTTGAATCGTATTTTAAACACACACCCACACTTATCTGTATATACACACATCTATCTGTATTACAAGCATATACCTACTCATTTACATATTTATAATAATATATATATATACACACATACTACACATATACACACATATATACACATAAACATAGATATATATATATATATATATATATATATATATATATATATATATATACATATAGATATCTCCCCATACACCCACACATATATATATGTACATATAAATATATACAAATACATCTCCATTTTCTATATCTATATACGCATGAAAGGCACATACATATGCATATATACATATATAGCCATATCACCATACCCCCATATGCATCCATACATATATACTTACATACGCATAAATATACAATCTTATATATATATATATATATATATATATATATATATATATAGTCTATTAAAAATTAAAATTGATAATATTTTAAAATTGTAGTTAAATAAAACGTATTCTAACCTAAACATCCCCAAAATTTTTTTAAGTATACAAATAGAAAAAATGCCGTAAGAATTTTTTTGCCGTTAACAATATTTTTTTTTTAAAAAAAAAAACCCAGACGACATGCATTTAATGGATATCAGAATTCGTTGAAAAATACACCCCTACCCTACCTAAAAACCCTTTTTCTAACATAACTAATAACTGATACAACAAAAGTTAATAAAAATGAACACGCTACCACCCCTTGTCTGAATGATTGGATCCCTCTGTATCCTTGGAAACAGTGAATTATGAATTGTCTGGGCCTTTAAAACTGAGTAAATTTAAAAAAATAAGTTACTCCAAAATTCGCTTGAGGATGAAATGAAACTAATATTTTTAATTTAATTACAAAATTAAATGTGAAGCTTTTAGCTTCCATTTTTGAAACATGGTTATTACTGTGTAGCGAAAAAACATATTTTAAATTAGTTAATTTATAATATTAATGCTCTGTAAATTTACATTGAGCACTATTTTGTAAAAATAAAAATATCAATAAGAACACCGGATTATATATCTTACTGTTCTTTTTATATATATATATATATATATATATATATATATATATTAGGGAGTTTATATATCTGGGCCTGAACTGCCCATTTCTAACTTTCTAGCCTTGACAGTGTTAAAAATATCTACGGATGGTGGGAAGGACTTATTTTACACCTTAAAACTCCTATCCGATAGCCGTAATGTCAAAATTCTATCTCTACATTCATGGCAAATAACTAACGAGCTCCGTTCTTTAGTTCCACCAGTTCAGGCCTTTCCAACCAAGACCCGCCTTGTTGCGTCCACAAGGTTCGATCAACCCTCATTCTTTATCTATTCCTTTGCGAATGAGAGCATTCGACTTGGAATGCAACTTCCCAAGAAACGCTGCTCTGTGAGGCAGACTCTCGCAAGGATGATTCACAAAACACTACAGCATTAACCTCTTCAAGTCGAGGGTCAATTGCTATCTACCCGACGTATCCTTATAATCTTTTTCCCAATCGATCCTCAGTACGTTCTTATCACACACCTCATTCAGTAGCTTTCTACCTCGAATGGCTCTTGGGCCTTGTACTTAGTGAATTTTTGTAAAAAGTAACTGCATCCTCACATTAAAATACGTGCATTTTCGTGCAACGTTGAACACGGATTCCTTACAAAAATAGGAAATTAAAACAAAACTTGCACTCATCATCAGAAAGGAGTGGCTTGGAAAAGGAGTCAACTGGAGATGATGGCAATATTGAATAATTAATTACATCCTGTTTACTGGCATCACTGAAAGGTTTTGCTTTGTTTTTTAATATAACGAAATGCAATTCAAGACGATCACTTTTTTGTTGCTGTCGTGCCATATTTACTGGGACATTTAAGGTTTATATAACTGCATGAAGAAGTAAACTTAAACTCGATAGCTGCAAAGAGACGCATTAAAATTGCAAAAGTCGGACCCTCCTTGTTTTTAAAACACTTAAACGATAATTTCCGTCTGGATTTCTGGGATGAAGAGTTATCATTTTACTTTATTTACACATGGACTATTGTTTTCATATTTATTGTTTTTGCTATTATCAAAACGTTTCGACTGTTTTTCACCCCGTCCGTCATCAGGTGCTTCTTGGTGCCGATAATCTTCATTTAATTTCAGACTGAACCCTTCATTTAGGCCCAATGTTTTCGTTCCGATGAGCAGTATTAAGACGGGATAGTAAGAACAATGATGAGGACAACGGTTTGAGTGTAAACAA